AACCCCTCTCAGGAAATCAGCGCCCTGACCTCCTAACATCTCTTATGAAAATGTCTCTTATGAAAATGTCTCTTGTACTGCGCCTGCCACGCGAAATGCATCTTTCCAGATCCTCTTCAGATGTCCCACGCCTGCCATTGCTTCTGAAACTCCTACAAAACCCTCACGTTTTTACTCACTTTTGACAAGATGCAGAGTCCCTTGCCCCTGCCACGCAAAACCACATCTGAACCTTCAAAAGTGGTGCTTTTAACATGTTGACTTGGAAATGTGCTTCGCGCCACAACGGCGTGCACTTTTTCGACATCTTAACTTCCAAAAGTGGTCCGGAGCTGGTGTGCTTTGTACATTTTGACTTGGACATGTGCTTCACGCCACAACGGCGTGCAATTTTAATCTCTCATCTGGCCAGATGGCTACGCACCCGACCCTCCGGAGCCACCAATCATTGGAAAAACACAGTGAATCGCGACTTTTCTACCTTTTCGCGGACCTGCATCTTCTTTCTTCTGACTCGTTCCCTTCTCTGATCTTCTCTCTTCTTCTTTTCTCTTCTCTGACTCTTCCTACCTCTGCTTTTCCATCTGTCCATATTGTCGGAAGTTTGACTTCTAGACTTCCTTCGATAATCCCTGAACTAATCATCAACCAACAGGGGTTTTGAACACTGCTCATGTGTGTTCTGATCTGCTGGTGGTTGCTTTGCAACTGCAACCCCCGCCTTTGCACAGGTTTCGCACTGGATCCATGTCTGCCTTGCCAGGCGCTGTACGTAGCATGGATTGTCCCAGGCAATATCTGATCTGAGTGGGCACAGCAAAGTATAGTAAGTATATGTGTGTATATACATATATATATATGTATTGATATGTGATTTATATATGCACATATTCTGAATCGCCCTGATTTTCTACAGTTGATCTGGCTTCTTCATGGCACTTGGGGTCCGAAACTTGAGTGGCTAATCTTGGCATATCTTGACCAATCGAAAAAAAGAGCTGTGCCTTGCACTTCACAAATTGCAGCTCAAAGCCAGAGCAAAGATTTCGTAGTTTCTCCTGCGTGGTTTCAACATGGTTCAGCCATGTTAGGTTATAAACATGTTCAGGAAAAAAAAACTCACGGATATATGTTCCAGCGAAAGTTGATGTAGCAAGTCTTGGCCAGTTCAAAACAAGTCATGTGCCTGGACAAAGATGATCTTTGAATGTCTATAAACTTACAAAAGCGTGCCACACAACAATAAACCCATAGCCTTTCAGGGCGTGGTTTAGCAGTCAGTGTGTTTTCTCTGTTTCTGTCTGTCCCGTTTCTGTGCATTTGTGCACATATGCTACATACAGCCAAGGCATTCCGAGGTATGGCATTTTGATCAGCTCTTCGATGTTCGAGTCGCTGGTTCCACTATTGTACAGGGTCTCCACGCGTCTCCGCATGTCCCCAAGGGGTTTTTTGCGGCTCAGTGCTGGCACCTCTTCAAATGATGCGCTTGAGTCGAGCGAGGGATCTGCTCAAAAACTGAGACAACTTCTGAATGCTTCACTTATTTTGGATGATTTTGTATACTTTGTCGAGTGCCTTTGTCAAGGTACAGTGAGGTCCGTGATGTCGGCTTGATTTGAACTTTAAGAGAACTCTGTGGGGAGTTTGTCAGATTATTGAGTCCACTTAATAGGGTCGTTGATAGTCGGAAACAGTTCTATAATGTTCTATATACACACATATATATATATGTGTATATATAATTATATATACGTGTTCGTGTCTTGCACCCCCTCATTCTCCGTTATTGCTTTAGCCTTGCGCCATGGAATTTTTTGGATCCTCAACACCGGACACAGCATGACGTAGCTCTGCGGTTTGGAAGCTTTAAACTATTTCAGAAATGACATGAAACAGATATGCCTGGAATATTAAACTATTTCATGAAATGATATCAAACTTTAATGATATGCCTGGATCTGCTGAAATCATGAAATCATCTTCAACTTCTCTCGCTCGGCTGCAGCCGCTTTCCCCATTTAAGTCACACCGCAACCCTTGACAGCTGCAGGCTGCCAGGTGCAGCCGTGTGCGCCTTCACAAGCTAAGCTCTGGCATAGACAGGAACTTCTCAAAGTTTCGGATCTTGCAGAAGGTTTTTTGGAAGGTATTGAGATTGAGATGTATTGAGATATATTGAGATGTATTGAGGCAGAGCTTCAGCAAAGCCTAGACGCAGCTGCCGTATACCTGCCCTCTGAATCAGGTGAAGGCAGCGGAAGGCAGCCTGATGGGTCGCACCCACGCTGAGACCGGCCAATGGTGAAGCTTTTTGAAGGCCCAGCCCATTTCAAAACCAGCTGAGCAGCGACTGTAGAACGGATCAGGAGATGATGAGAAGTGAAAAGTAAACTTCTCCACTAAAAATCCCAAGTCTCAAGTCTATGTCCCAAGTCACCATGGTTAAACCATTCCAAACCACCGACATCGAATCGAGGCGTGCAAAAATCGATTGTTTTCATTCTTCAATGCCCAGCTCTTCAGGTGGAGGAAGAGATGCTGGCGCAGGCGCAGCAGGCGCAGCAGGCGCAGCAGGCGCCGGCGGGGCGCCGGCGGCCTTGAACCAAGTGACCTTGGAAATGGATGGAGATGGTGACATGACAGCAGAAATCAATGCAAACCAATACAAACCAGGGACCATTATATACCATTATGTACCATTCATGGTGCAGGATTCTATGCTGAAATGTCAGGACATTTCAAACTCCACTACAAATGTCAGGAGCATCGATGGTTGATTCCGGCATCCAACTGCTACTGGGTCCTTGCATAATGGCCAGGATGTAAAACGAACGCCGGCCATACTCTTCACTCAAATGCAAACAAGACACGGACATGCATTTGGCCTCACCGGGAGGTATGAAGACTTCCACTTGAAAGACTGTCCTGGACCCAGCTGAAAACACTCCCGGCGCGATGCTGGTTGGTGGAGGTACCATCTTATATTTTATCCAAAAAAGAACCTTCCTCTAACAACAGAACATGTGTGTGTGTGTCTGTGGGTGGGAGTGTACATATAAAAAAGAATAATTACAATACATTACATTACAATACATTGCATTACATTGCATTACATTGCCTTACCTTGCCTTACGCTACGCTACGCTACGTTACATTAGGTTACAGTGCGTTACAATAATAGTTAGCAACCAATAATATTCAACAAGCACAATGAAAAAAACTAATGACAACAATCATAATAGTAACAACAATAGTCACAACAATACCAACAACAACAAAGAAGAAAAAGAAGAAAAAAAGAAAGAAGAAAGAAGAAGAAGAAGAAGAAGAAATAATGCCAACAACAACAACAGCAGCAACAATAACAGCAACCACAACAACCACAACAACAACAGCAGCAGCAACAACAGCAACCACAGCAACCACAACAACAGCAGCAGCAACAGCGACAACAACAACAACAACAATAACAACAACAACGCCAACAACGCCAACAACGCCAACAACGCCAACAACAACAACGACAACCAACCAACCAACCGACAACAACAACCAACCAACAACAACCAACCAACAACAACCAACCAACAACAACCAACCAACAACAACAACAACCAACCACCACCACCACCAACACCAACAACAACAACATCAACAACAACAACAACAACAACAACAACAACCGTTCAACAACCGTTCAACAACAACAACGACAACGACAAACGACAACAACAACAACTACTACTACTACTACCACCACAACAACCACAACAACCACAACAACCACAACAACCACAACAACCACAACAACCACAACAGACCACGACAGACCACGACAGACCACGACAGACCACGACAGACCACGACAGACCACGACAGACCACGACAGACCACGACAGACCACGACAGACCACGACGACGACGACGACAAGAACAAGAAGAACAACAAGAATATCATACAAATTCATACAATTTCATACCTACAATATCATTCAATTTCGTACAATATCATCATGCATTTTCATACAATATCATGCAATATCATACAGTATCATGCGATATCTTACAATATCAACAAGTTATTTGCTGTACATTTTCCGTGTCATCATACATGGTGCGATGTGTCGTCACGTGCCCAGAACGCACGCATAGCCCTGCCGGCCCCTGGCGGAAATCCTGCCTCGGCTTTCCCTGATCCACAAGCGCAGATGGAATACCAGGGATGGAAGATCCATTGGGCAAATGAATAACTGGTTATTAATGGTTACTATTAATGGTTATTATATGATTAATGATGGTTAATATATATATATGTATATATATATACTGGTTGGTGGTATACCTACCCCTCTGAAAAATATGAGTTCGTCACCTGGGATTATGACATTCCCAACTGAATGGAAAAATAGGTCCAAATGTTCCAAACCACCAACCAGATAAAAATGACATGCTCCTCTCAACTCTCTTCTCTGCAGAAGAAGCAATGAGCCAAGAAGTAAGATATTGTGCAGGATTTTGCAGGCCATTCATGGTCTAAGAGTGGGCGGGCAAATTACTCCCAAAATCTTCTCCCGATCACTTCATGTTCTTTCAGATTCCTTTCTTTGCGCTTTATTTTGCCTTTCATGGTGCACTCTTCCGTTTTTCACTCATCGTGCCTTCACCAGCCAGGCCAATTCGCGGCCTACATCCCTTGGCCCTGCCACTTGACTGCACCGCGAGGTGCACTTTGGTTCCAACGGATGAAGCACCTGTGACAGCAAGCCGTCTACAAAGACCTGGCCAACGGGCGGAGCGAAACTGGGTCGCCTTTTGGTCAAAACTGTTATGCGGTGTTCAAACGGGTCAGTCGGTTAGTGTATTTCATTATACTCACATGGTGCTTGTAAACCTCTACATAAGGCTTTTGAACGCTGCTCATTTGCCTTTTCAATTTTTCCTGCCATTTTCTTCCCATCCCAGGTTCCAATTTTTAGCGGAAAAACGCCTGGAAGGTCTCCTCCTCTTGGCTCAGTGTCAGCTCGTAGCTAAACAAACCAGGCCGGTCCCTGACGATTCCCATGGAAGCACATGGAATGTTGGAACACTTCTGGACAATACCTGATGATGATATGGGAATGGGTCAAAACCATGTAGCCCTGGTGAACATCAAAATAGCTGGTAAATGGATGTTCATCCCATTAAAAATGGTATTCATAGGTATTGATCCATACTCATATGTAATGATATGTAATGATATGTAATGATATGTAATGATATGTAAGCAAATTTATCAAATGAATTAAAACATTAAAATGCATCCAAGCTCAGCTGTGAAAGTTGGGCTGAATACCATGAAGTACCTTGCGTCAACCTTCCAAACGATCATGTGAGCGAAAGCCAAAACTTGGAGTCACACAGTCACAGGAGTTCTCGAGGAAACGGTCCGGAGTGTATAAACATAGGTGTATCTATCTATCTATATATATATACATATCGCTTTTGTAGTTTGTAGTTCACCATATAGCTTTCGGTGAGATGGGAGTTCAAAAACCGCTCAAGCGAACGGTTCTGCATGAACCTGCTTCGTTTTTTCTCATGTGCTCTGGTTAACCACACTATGTGAATCGACAAGTCACAAAAAGGATATCACACACAAGATACCCAATCACGAAATCACTCGCAACTTAGAAAAACTCTACATTGCTCTAGGCCAGTGCTGTGATCTCTCATCTGAGTCCAGAGTCAGAGTCGATGCGTCTGGAAGCCATACTGTATTACTGTAAGCTTCATCAAAACATGAGTCGAGCTGAGGCCTCGCAATCATCGTCTCTGGCACCCAGTCTCAGCAAAGCGGGGAATGAGAAAAATCTCTGGTGGCTCCACATGCTCCACTCTCCCGCCAGCCCTGGCAGCCCTGATATATCCTGATATCTTCAGCTACGTGGCTGTTGAAGGATCCCGCGATGGACATCGAGCTGATGCCTCTTGGTTTCATGGGAACCAGCTCGTGCCAATGGGTTCCTAGGCATCAAAAGCATTCAAAAGCGAGGTTTGGGCCAGAAGTTGGCAAGGTGTAGGATCTCAAAGTCAAGGTTTTTGCAAAGTTTAAGCAAAGCTGAATGATTTTAAGAACCATGAACTTCAGAGATGGAATCAGCAGACCTTAAGGTACAGCAAACACACAGCCAGGTCATGCCCCTGACTTTGTGTCAGAGCTGGTTTGCCAATCCCGGAGAGTGCACTATCGAAGCGTAACTTTCCCCAGTCCACAAGTCCCCAGTCGGCACGATCTCTAATGCAAGGCCCAGCTTCTGCCTGGCATCACTTCAACCTCGGGACGGCACAGCTGTGGCTTTCTTCTTCAGTTTGGACATCATTTCAGATCAGGCAAAACTCGTGGCTGGGCGTTTGAGATTCCTCCGTTTTTCCCTCATTTCACCGTTTCGAACAACGGTCAAACATCACGGTGGAGGATCCAGGAAGCTCAGAGGACCATTTGGCCATTTGGACAATGAATGCTGGGATCCAAGAAGCTTCAAAGGCTTGCCCCGATTTGATGGAGAGATGTGGCAGGCCAGTGGTTTGCCAATCCTCATAGTTGTCCCCGACCTTTGTGGTGCACTCAAAGAGAGGACCCCATCGGTACCACCGGGGACTAGCTCGTCTGCAAGTCCAGCATTCTGGTGGCTTTTATCAATTCTTATGTTACACTGTTTTGGTGTGTCCCGTGTCCCCAGTTTGGCCTCTTTTACCACTTCGTTCTTTCTCCGCTCGCTTTCTTTCCAATCAGCATGGAGCGGACGCTGCAGATGGCGAAAACTTACTCCTTTCTACATCACTTCCATCACTCTAGCCATCTGTGAAAAGCAAATGATAGATTTACGCAAATCTCAAATTCACCGTGTTTTTTTGGTTTTAGCTTCACGTGGTTTCTAGTCATGCTGGCATGTTTTTCTTCCAGAACGCAAGAATATTTGCCTCGCTAAGTTGTGCCACAGCGTCCATATTGATCTCCGGTGTCGTTGAGCGCACCTGGCGTAGCATAGCTTGCGCCTCAGCCAGAACTTTGCTTCCTTTGGATTGATACGTTGGATACCCTTGGATATAGATACGTTTTCAACATATACACAATCCTGTATTCTATGCAATAATCTACAGTAAATATACATTGTTATATCATGATATAATATAATATGCATTAAACAATGTGCGATGAGGTTAACATCTCAAGTACATTCATGCTCAAACAATGCGGCAACGGCAAGGAGGGTGGCAAGAGGCAAATCAAATAACGAGGTGAAAGCAGGGATTTTAAACCCAGCTTGCTGCACGGAAAAAAGCACATTCCCTGCTACCTTGAAAACACACCCAAGATCACACCAGCATATATATATATATATATATCAGTGATGATCAGTGCGAATTCAGACCTGGTCTATCCGTCTATCCATACATATTCATACTTTGGTGGCTGTTTGGTGGCTGAAGTGGCCAGAGTGAACCACTGAGTGAAGTTGCGCTTCTTGTTGCGCTTCTTGCAGCCACGTTCACTGAATGCTTCTTGTTGTCACCGCGAGAAGTCACCACCTTGGTGAACAAGAAAAACGCGCCATCCATCGCCATGGTTTGGCATGGTGGACGTCGTGGGACGTTCGGCCAACATCGAACAGTCCCGAAACATGAGAAACTCGTCGCAAAGGCAATACCCTCTGGTAATTTGTTACATAGCTATTGAAAATGGCCATTAATAGTGGATTTTCCCATTAAAAATTGTGATTTTCCATAGCTATGTTAAATTGCCAGAGGGTATGTGCTCCGTTGAAAATGTTGAAAGGAAGTTGTCCACAGTGTCAAGGTGCATTGTGGCCAAAGGCCAAGGCGTGACTGTTGGTGCCACCATAGCCAAAGCCACTCACACCCACCTGAAGTTCTGCAAGATTGTGGACGACACTGCTGTTGAAAAAAGTTACCCTCTGGTAATTTAACATAGCTATGGAAAATCACCATTTTTAATGGGAAAATCCACTATAAATGGCCATTTTCAATAGCTATGTTAAATTACCAGAGGGTATTTGCTGTTGATGCTACGAAATGACAAGAGCATACACAATTCGGAAATCCAGGACAATTTGTCGGTGAACATCGACGACTTCAACCTCCTAGTGCCGACGTAGATGTTCAGCTCTGCAAGTAACAGTGCGGCCCAAAAAAGCACGTGAACCCAATCCAGTATCTGCAAACATGCATTCATCCATATTCATCCTTTTTCGGCCCTGCGTTTCAATTCGTAAAGCAAAGCATGTCTTGAACTCCTCATGGGTATATGATGGTATATGTTAGAACTCGAACGACCACTGGAACGATTCCCAAATCTTGTGGCATTCGTCTTGTGGATTTGGCTTCTGGGGAGTTGTGGCACTAGGGCGGCGGCATAGGAACCATCAGATTTCAACGCAGCGGCTTCTTGAAGAAGGAATGCTGGCCAACCTGAACGCAGATCTGTTGCAACTGAACTTCGTGTAGACTTGAAGACAGCTCTCTGGCATAGGCAGCTTAAAAATGTCAAAGATTACCCTCTGGTAATTTAACATAGCTATTGAAAATGGACATTTATAGTGAGTTTTCCCATTCAAAATGACCATTTTCAATAGCTATGTTAAATTACCAGAGGGTAAAAAAACAAAGGTTGGTTCCAAGCAAACTGAGATCTGGTAGCTTGAATCAGGAAAACACCCAACCATCCTTTCATATCCTTTCCACAACTCGGCACAATCAGAGATATGTCTTTTCTGTCCGAAACTTGAGATCCACCAAGTGCAGAGGGATGAGGTGCCCACAGCCCGCCTTCAATATCGAGATTGGGATTCTGAACTCGCAAATGCTGGTTGCTAGCTGCTTCTGCGTGCATGCAGGCCAGTATGCACCTAGGCAAGCCGTAACTTACGAGGAAAAACCCTTGGGAATCACTCTGCGAAAAGGGTGCAAAGAGGCATGCAAATTTTGAAGGCACAAAGTCACAAATGTCACTGGTGCAAAGTGGCTTTTTTTTTTCGCAGTTTTTTTCCATGTTTTTTTTCCACAAAGTCACCTAAGAGAGACCAAGCGGCTTGCAAAATGCTGACATCCCAGCACCTCCCTCGAGGTGACCCAAGTTGGGTTTGGAACACGAGATCATCACCTCTCCAGGGCGCGAATTTCGAAAAGCGCACCATGCAGGCAGCCAGCTATAACTGGCTATACCCTCTGGTAAACTAACATAGCTATTGAAAATGGCCATTTATAGTGGATTTTCCCATTGAAAATGGTGATTTTCAATAGCTATGTTAAATTACCAGAGGGTAACTGACACCTTCAAGATCCACAAAACATCCCAAGTTGCTTATGTTGCTTCAGTACGGGTTGGACACCACATATTTTTGGGCACTGCCATTGAATAAGGTCACAATAAGGTCACAGTGCACAGTGACAGTCTGCATGGCTGTGACCAATGGAGCCAAGAAGTCTCAATAGACAGTAACAGCTGCCTATAGTACACTGGTGTCAGGATTACTGGTGTTTGATGGTATCTCAAGATTCCTCCAGATTCAAAGTTGATAGCTCCTGGCATGAAAAGCAATATGCGGTAAAACCAGGAGGTCGGTTGCCAAACTGGGGCACATCTTTGAAAATTGTTGCATGCAATAAAGCTTCAGCTGAGTGTCCGGGTATTCCCTCTGCGCTAGCACCTGCAGGAGAAAAACCATGTTCATGCAACGAGAATACGTCTTCACACCAAGTTTAAGATATTGTGCCAATCCGCGAAAGTTGGCTGTTCATGAAATTTCGGAACGCACAACGACTTGTTTTCTTTTTTTACTTGAGCTTTTTTCCATTTTTTTCCACTTCATGGGTTGATTTATGGTGCTTCACCCATATTCATCACCCACCATGCCGAGCCTTCCGGACAGCTGAGACCTCAATTGGATCCCCTAAGGATGTCCCAGTACCGTGTGCTTCGTAGATATCAAGCTGCGTGGGCTGCAGCCGCGCCTGAAGTGTTCGCTTAAAAAACTCGGCACAAACTGAACTTCAAAAAACCTGAAGGATCTTACAGTAAACAATCCTTCGAGAATCCTTCACATGGCGCTTCGGAGCTTCGTTGTGCCACTTGTTCATGACATGTGCCAATGGTGTTTTGATTTCAGAACACAAATAAAAAGGATGCAATTCTTGCAGGGGGATCTTTAGGAAACTTCGTGAAGTTGATATGGGTCGTTGATTGCTCAGTGAGGTGTTTTGCAGTCTTCAAGTATCGCTGGGATGGAAATAGCTACGATATCAGCATACTTACTGGTGATTGATGACGATATCCAATATCCAAACAATCAAATCATTTTGCTCATGTATAGAAATGGATCCATTTAGACTTTTGTAGTGTAATCTACTAGTATAAAATCACATGAGTCAAATTCCATATATTCCATAAATATCTCTGAGCTTCCCAAAGCTTTGAGCGCCTCCCCCAGGGCGGCACGTAGCAGGCGCTGCTGTGCTGGACCATTGGGGGCGGTGAGACTGGCTGAACGCCCATCAGAATTGCTGTGACCTCAGGGTCTGAGTGATCTGAGATGAGAAAATTGGGGCAAACATGATGATGCACCACCTCCTGGACCAAAAAAAACATTTTAAAAAAAAAAACATGTAATTCATTGTAATTCAAGATGATCGCAAGGTCTAAAATTATCTTGCAGGACCATGCCCTCAACGGAACAGCCTGACGTCTAGGAATAAAGCAAGACAGAAAGACGAGATCAAGATACCTCAGATTACCCCAGCGGCTCTACTTCAAAACATGTACCGTAGGAGGTTCATTCATCTCCAATGTCTTTGCCGTCGCGGCCGATCGCAGAAGAGATGCTGGCCGCCAGGGATCCACAAGTGGTGTCATCGTCTCGGTTGTACCTCGGTGCAAACTCTGACATTCTCAAGGCCGCATCCGTGGGCCATCCGTAGCCCCCAATGAAAACATATGATTCAACTCCCTTCATATCCACGCCTCTGGATAAGAATCACTCCCAATGGAAGTTCAACAGGAAAATGAAAATCATGTCATGATCCATAAAATATCCATTTCATCCAATGAAAATCAGTGATTCTTCAGCAAGCTACAATGCAGATACGATGAGATAAGATGAAATAAGATGAAATTCTGCGCCAAAGTCACTTGCCACGACCAAGCACAGCAGCTGCACAGCCTTCACCACGGCCATAGCCATCAGCTGTGGCATTGAAGCTGAAACATCTCCCACGGAAGGACAGCATGGCGCCTGCCACAAATATGAACCAAAAGGTAATAGAATGGTGTCAAATTAGTCAAATTAATTCAAATTAATCCAAATTATATCAAATTCATCTACTGCGACATTTGGAACGTCTTTGGCATCTTTTGCAACCAGGTCAAAGACCAAGTGTGGCAAAAGAGTCTTTGAGTCTCACAATACAAAGATATGCAGAGCGCAAATGCCTGCACAATTGGCTATCCAGGTGCCAGGAGACACATTTAGGCCTCAGAGACGTCTCTGGCCGCCCAATGTTCAGCATGTCATGAGTCGATTTCATGCGTGTTCCATGTCTTCCATGTCATGTCTTCCATGGTTTTCAGGTGGAAATCTTCAACAAAGCTGTGGCTTTCCCGGCTTTCCATCTTCCCTGGACTGGTCGGACTGCTTCGTCAAGGCACTGATCCCTGCAACTAAACATCCATCCAATGGATCCTATCAGGGGTTCATGAACGGTTCATCTCTGGGATTTTTGACGATTTTCGGGGGGGCACCAGCAATTGAAGTTCTGGGAAAAATTTTCGGAAGACCGGGTTAGAGTGGTGCCAGAGCAGGTCAGCACAAACTGAACCCCAAACTCAGTCCTCCTGCATCAGCAAGTGTGTCTTTGCACTGTGCAAGGCAACTAAAGATGCAGAACATGCCGTGTTCACAATGAAGCTCGGCCCCTTCAGGTTGACCACATAGCTGAAGCGATTCCTCAGGATGAGATTTTACGAGATTGATGAAAGTTTGGACCCATAGCATTGCTTCAGCATTTCGAGTCACCCTGTGGTGCGTGTTCCGCTTGTTCCTCTTTGAGACTTCAGATGATTTAAGTCACGGCAAAGGATTGGGAAGCTTCGGCTTCACTGCTGACGAGGCCTCACATGGCCAGACCGCCAAGCTTCGCAATGAATGTCTCCGGGACACCATTGGCAGAAGGTGTTCGGCAAACATCTCGCCAATCCTTACATCATGCGTTGGTGTTGGACACAGGCAGTGGACACCAAGTGACAACTGGACCAACTGGACCAACTTGTTCACAAATTGAATGGTGAATTTGAGTGTTCGTCCAATTGTTGAATTTGATTATTACATATTGTTACTAGTTATGACGTCGAGTGTTGCATCTTGAAGGCCTTCAGAGCTGTCGAAAGTCATCCAAGCAAATCCGCTAAGCAAGGAACGGAACCGCTGATGCCAACGAAGACTCCCAGGTGTGCGGAGTCAATCCTCACCTGATTGGGTGGAAAATCCCCTGGCCCTGGTCGACTGAGATTGGCAATTTATGCACCGCTGTTTTTTTTAGTCGCCCTACCTGTTCTCGCTTGTAGCCAGCATCTGCCAACGCCATCCAACCTGAGTTCTCGAAAAGCAAAAATCACCTCAAATATCTCAAAATGATTGGCCTTTTTGGACATTGTTCAGGCCTTTTTTAGGGGTGTTTGCTATTCCAGGTATGCACTTCTTGAGGTCACGTCTTTTTGTTTCCAGGTGATTCCAGGTGTGTTCCCCGGTCTCCCCGGCGCAAACGGATCTGGGTTAAGAAGTTAAGATGGCCATGTGACCTGTCTCCATGAAGATCCTCTGCTCTGGATCCATGCCCCTCACGTCCTTTGCTACACAACTTTCAACGTGACATACCGTGACATACTGTGACTCATACTTCAATGGATTAGTTTAAGGGAAAATTTACAGGAAACCCCCATATTTAATGGGAAAATCTATGGTTTCCTGTAGATGTTCCCTTAAACCAATCCATTGAATACTGTAAGAATCTCTAAGATCAAGCCGTGACTGGGAGGCCACTGACACTGGGAGTATTGTCACAGCAGCGCCTGGGAGTATTGACGCATTCTGCGTCTCGAATGAAAATTACTGGGATGTAGATGATGGCTGTCCTGCTCCGGGATGTTGAAGAACCCGGCATCGAAGACTTCGATTCCTTCGATATGACCTAAGCCGTCGCACTTGTTCCTCATTCACCTTTGGCAGTTACATGGCAGTTACCCATTAAATTCCATTCACATTCAACAACTCCAAATTTCTCTGACTCCAAGAGTTTGCAGCACAGATCCCACTAGCAGATAGAACGGTCATCAGAATCGGAATGACACCAGAAATGGCACAAGGAAACCAGAAATGCTTTCACGGCCAGCATCTGCAGGTGTGACGAACCCATACGAACCCCCATTTCCTTAGAGTTCGTTCCTCACTCACCACTCATGAACCATGCGAAGCCAGGTGGCCCTGATGTCGACAGTAGCTCTTGAAAGACGCCATTGCCCGCTGCTGATCCTTTCATCAGTGGAAGGTCACAGAGCTCACAGCATGTTCTGAAAGCATCTGAAAGTCACGTAAAATGCATTTTGCAACACATTGCGATGCCATGCTGAACTCCTCGTAGTCCACATATTGATCAACATCGAACCTGGACATCTTGAAAGGGGGGTGACTGCCACGCCAGTTCCATGCAACTCTTGCAGGGGTTGATCCCAGCTTCGTGAAATCCGTGGCAGATCCTGGATATGGCAGGAAATCCAGAGCGCCTGGTCTTGGGAATCTCTAAAAAACCATCGCAGCCGCCATGCCGCACAGCTGCCCACAGCTTCTCATGTAGATCTGCCTGGGGCGACGGCGACAACTTGTTTTGATCGCGAAAAATTACATCTTGGTGGCCTGGTGGCAGAATTGACGACACATAATTCGTTCCTGGGTTGTGTCGTTTCCTGGGGCTGGTGATTGGTTGATGCCTGTTCTGCTTCCGGCCTTGTCCCGGCGACATTAATAAGGCAAGGTTTGGCAAAAGCATGGGTTGGAAACAGGTCAGAATTCGAGAATCTGCAAAGTGAGGTATCGCAAAATCAAACATGACCAACATGACCATGCGATTTCGAGAAGGTTCAAATGAGCAGCCAAGAATCCTCCAATCACCATTGCAATCAAATGATGATACTATACCATAACATAGGAATCTGATTTTCAAAAACTGATGACAATACGGAACACTACTAGTTACATATATATATAATACACCTACAGTATGTGTATATACATATATAACTATATATATATATTCACAGCATACATACATACATACATACATACATACATATATATACATCAATAAGATAATATATATATATTATGATAATACATATATATATATATTATGATAATATACATATATATCATGTGTCATGTGTCATATATATGTATCAAAAAAAACACGTCTCATCTTTGACATGCGGAGTTTCCGTGAGTTTCAGGGCACCTCGCAAGGATCCCGGGAGGCCATGCCTGGTCGACATCGATGTCTCTGGATGTCCCTTAAATCAGAGGCTAAATCCCATTAAAGTGGCCCATAACTAGTGAAAATGGCCCATAGAAATAGTTGATTTACCTATTCAAGTGGCTAAATCCCATGAAATCACCATGAAACCACCATGAAACCCCATTAAATCCCATTAAACCACCATCAAATCACCATTAAATCCACCTTAAATCACCTTAAATGTCAACTATGGAAGTTGTCAACTATGCTATAGTACAGTATAGATGCTATAGATGTTGGAAGCAGAGACGTTTTTCTATAGCATCAGATGTTCCATCACCTTGTTATGGAAGTTGTCAACTATGTCAACTTCATGTGCCTCCTTCGAAACAGCATCAACCATCGAAACTCGGAAAAGCATTGAGTTTGGGCATCTCTCTACTCAGATCATCTCTGATCTCATCGCATTCCCAGCCTTTCACCAAGACCTGCTGACCTTTGGGCGTTTTCGTCACCGGCGCACTGAGTCCCGTGGAGAATTTCCCCACAGCCGGCGCCTAAAGCAACAGCAATATTCAGCTATAGCAACAATCAAAAATCAACAAATTCCACAAATATCAAAAAAACATCTTCAAAAATCCTTAAAAATCTTCAAACATCGACAATTTTTTTGTTCAAAAATGTTCAAAAATCTCCAAACTTTCGAAAGTTTGTACGGTGACTGGTGACAAAAATATGGGCCTTCTGGAAGACCAGCTGTAAAGGCTCCTCCAAGAAGAAGCTTTGCAACACCAAACCTCCAACGAAACCAAAATCCACAGGAAATACCATGGAAATACGGAGGATTTTGAATCTATTCTGTGATGCAGAGAAAGCCACAGATGTCCCAAATTCATCGAAATTTGCATAGAAAAAGCTGTTTCCCAGCGAATTTCAGATTTTTTTTATAGTGTCTTTCTGCAAGATGCTACAATAGCTGAGCAGAGTTGAAGTTTCAGAGGACGACCGTTCGAAAACAATGCTGGTCTGTGCATTTTAGGGGCGTTTTCAGACTTCGAAAGCGACTTCACCCCTTCGATTTGATCCATTGATTATCCCAACAAAAAACCTGATAACATCCAACGATGTGGGATAAAAGCGGACCACAGGTTCTGCCAAGATGCATTCGCCAGTTGGGTCGAATTGATATTCATACCTTGAGTTTTCTGAAAGCCAAAAGGCAAAATTTCTACGGTGCTTTTTCCAACAGAAAAGGACTGTTTTCTAAAACCATAGAGATCACGCATCGACAGTCAAAGATTTACAGCTTGGACTGCGTTCCCCATGACATCTGTGATGGGTGACTGATGCAATGCTTGATCAACTTTCGTCCTTAAACATGTCATTTCTCCATGCATTTAGACTTATAAACTTATATGTAATACATATATATATATGTATGTATGTGTATATATATATAGACTCATATATCTCATATTACTCATAAATCAAATTACATGCACAATATCCCACAATAGTTTACCTGTATTTTGCTTTATTATCTGCCTTGAGATTTTGTGTAGATTCCTTGCTACTGACTCCTCACAAATTCCCACCAAGCTGCTGCTGGGTAAGGAAAACCACTTGCATATTGACACAAACGTCCATAGTAACCTGAACCAAAAGGGGCAGACTCGCAAGCAAGACATAGTAAGACAAAGACTTGCAAGGAGTTACGCCACGCGCTTGAGAAACTGATTTCTAATAGAAACGGTTTTTATGTCGACCCTTTCCGAACTCCTTCATACCCATGGTATCCCATGGTTCTCATTTCTGACCTCAACATGCCTCGGATTCGCCCGTGGAGTTTCGGCCTCCGCCTCGTCCTTTTTGGGAATGAGGCGCAAGGTTCCGCCAGCGGGTCCCAGAAAACGAAGCACACACAGGCGCTTACGACCCATGAGAGCCAGGAAAGCCTCCTTAGATGCAGCACGTTATGATCGTTATGTCGTGCCATCGTCAAAACATGGTATAGGGGCTATGGTCATCCATCCTATATTGGGAATCATTACAATGGGTATATTAACCCCTCTTGATGGGTGTATGACCATCCCCTTCTATGAGAAAACAAAGCATGTTTTGACCACGGCACATGTACTTTGCAAAGTGTGGCAAGATCAAGAAGACGCAGTGGATGGAGTGGTATATTTTGTCGCATGTTGCAGGGACATCGTGTTGCATGAGCATGTCACATCCAGAAATGCCAAGGCACAGCCTGAGCAGCATTTGGAGGCTCGGCAGCTTCGGAGTCTGCCCCACTTGCCCCACTTAAACGCAACAGCAAAGTGGTACCTGAGCAACAACGCATCACGGACTCAACGCCTCATGCTGTACACCATCTGGGCATATCCGGGGCGAAAAATTAGAGAATCCAGAAGCCATTTGGATGTGCAACACTGGAGTTTTTGTCCAGAAGCCATTTGTTTGGATCGCGCCACGATTGTCGTGCCCTGAAGCCCCCAAAGGTACCACCATTTAGCCATGCCACGACTTGAGAGACGAAAGCCAAAGGTCTGCAGGAGCCCAGGTTTCATCAGCCTCAAGTGCTCTGCCACCTGGGTGTCTGCAATGGATTTCGAAGGTTTTCCAGTGTCATAGAATGTCCGCTTCTGTGTAACCGGTTAGCTAAGTCATGACACTGCGAAAATTTCTTCTCCCAGAGTTTGTCAGATCGAACTCACAGGAACAGATCTGTCCAGAAAATTCGAACGAAATCCTCAATGAATCTCCTAAGCGTCCCTGCACTCTGCTCCTGTGCCAGCAATCCAGAAGCTGCCGCTGACTCTAGCGACTGCGCAGGAGAATCCGGTGCTATTTTCTGTGGTTCTGTGGGCTAGATTTAGAACTGATTGATAAGGTTCATGGATTCACATCTTTCACTTCGCTCCTCATTGTAGTGATGTTGAAGTCTCGGTATGTGATACATCCCGTTATATATCCAGCCTCTAGCATCGCCACCCTATCCGAACGAGAGTCACCACGGCCCAAGTAGCCAAGTTCGAACCTCATGGGCCAACAAGTCGGATCTGGATCATTCGCGTGGAGGCACAAAATCACCAACGGAAAGAGATTTTAGCGCACTGGCACTGAGTTTTTCAGAAGGTTCCTACAACTGGCACCATGTGGGGAGAAGGAAAATTCACATCAACTAACCTGAACTTCAGAACGATATGGCAGTTTTACTACTAACTATGCATCGCCAACATCAGACATCAGACAGCCTTTTTTGTGCGCAGCATATGTCGCCAAGATGCTCAAAGGGCAAGCGCCCAAAGTATTCATCCAGCTGCTTCACAGTGGCCAGAATCCCAGCACGAGTCCGCGCAGGCAACATGACATGCGTTGTGACCTCGGCGGTTTGAAAAATTCCTGGAACCAGAGCGGACCCCTAAATGACTTGGATCGCCAAGATTTGATTGTATGTTCTAGGTGCTTTTCATTGGAATTTTACGAGAAGGACAGGTAAAAAGGCCATTTGAATCCATTTAAGACGCAATCATTGCAGTGGTCTTGTACATCAGAAGCACAAGACAAGTACTAGCAACCACCCTTCGCAAAGCATTTTGTTTTTTCGAAATGCGAGAAAAATCGCTATGCTGTAGACTCTACTGTAGACTGTTCAACGGAGCTCTGGCAATGTAGCCTCTCAGCCTCGGGGAAACCGGGCGCCCAAACGTAGCCCTTTTCCAGAAGTAAGTCCGGCATTTGTTGTGCCAAGCCCTGCAGGTGGTCTCCACTCGGTCACAAACTCTGCATTCGAGAAATGCACTGACTGTCTGACTGTCACGTTGTCCATATTAATGTCCATTTGATGTTTTAGGAATTCGACAATTAGACAATTACCCTCTGGTTATTTAACATAGCCATGGGAAATGGCCCATAGAAATACATGGTTTACCTATATTAATAGCATGGTGATTTTCCATGGCAAACTGTTAGTCATAACCAGATGGTAGACATCTGAATTAGACATATCATGTTCCACATTTTTTTGCCAAAAATATTGCCCTTATAAGGCGGCCCTTAGTCCAGAGAAAAAAAAATCCGCTCCTCCGCAGAAGATTTGGGTCCCAGGACTAGGTCATAGCCGTGTAATTCCTCCGCACTTAGAAGCCTGGCGATTCGGGAAGATCCAGAGATATCCAGAGGTCGTCTCATTGACACCGACCCGGCCTGGTAAACCAACATAGCTGTAGAAAATGGCCCATTTATAGTTGATTTACCTATGAAAATATATGGAAATAGTGATTTTCCATAGGTTTTTGTATGTTTACCAGAGGGTACATGTTTTTCATTGAGAACTTTTTGAAACTGTCGGTTTGAGAGTCAGCTGAAAGAAACACTCTTGGCGTGCCACATCTGTGATCTATCCAAAACTTCAAGCCATGTTCGATGATCCATTGAGATGCATAGAGCCAACAAATTGCATGGACATGAACAATAGTCAATAATCTGGGTAAATTATAATAATTCACTAACCTGAAATAAGGCTATCCTGGGGATGATTCCTCTTACTGACTATGATTATAGTGAGGTTGCAGTGAGGTCGTTACAATTTACCCAGAATCCCTTGGGGCACAACCTGCAAGCTGTCGCTGGGACTTGTAAAAAGTAGCCACTGAAGCTCAAGACCTCGGACGTTGGCGACGCTCAGCCCAAGGTCGAAGTATGTCGATTCTAGGCATTGGTCTTGAAAGTCTTCCAGTAGCACAGCAGCACTGCACTGTGTAATCTGCGTAATCTGTATAATCTGTGTAATCTGTGTATGGCAGAAGTCATTGGTGAAATACGGTCCATCAAAGAGTCATGCACTGAAATACGGGCAGCCGTTGCAGCCTATTTTGGAGCCAGCGGCCAGTAGTCCCAGGTCACCACCGTTCTCGACTAACTGTGCCTGCTGTCGATCAACTAAGCAGATGACGATTTTTGGATGACAAAAATATGACCAAGCGCAGCGTTTCAATTCTCTCATCCCAATCACTGCTGATTTCAAGTGATTTCAAGTGATTTCAAGATCGGAGGCCTGGGCTCCATTGAAATCAAATGCCTCATCTTCTCCAATCGGAGTTAGCTTGTCCTCCAGGTGCAGATGAAACGGTGGGCACAGTGGGGCCATTTGTATCCATTTGTTGTGTCTGCAGACATTTGGCTGATGGAAAAAAAAAAATGGATCCTTGGTGGTCAGCAGCACAAGGCTTCCAGGAGCTACATTTGCATCCATCTGCATCTCAACGCAAGCACTACCAAATGCTGTGAAATCCTTCTCTGGATTGTTACATGCACTGGATTGTGACATCTGCATCAAGCGGATTCAAAAATGGACGCCTAAACCGCAGCAAGCACTTGTGTGTGCGTCTGTGCACATGGATACTCTAAATCTCTTATTTGCTGAAACAAATATTTCAGTCAGGTGGCACTATCTTGAGGCAGGTTTATGATTTTGTGATGTTGAATTCCATTTTGCCTTCTGCCATGATTCTAACTGTACAGGGCCTTTGAACCAAACACCAGCAGTTTGAGGCAAAGTTGCAATGTGAGCAAGCTGCAACTTCTGACGTGTGTGCCCTACTTCGAAGCTGTGAATGTTCGGAATGGAAAAAAACTGGCACAGACTTTTTCAAATCCCCGAGAAAAAACACAGCGATTCCATGATCCAGTTCTGACGACTGAGTCTCCCAAGTCCATATTGAGATTCAATGATATATATATATATAGTGATTTCCATAAATGGGGGTATCCCTTTATCGCTGGATGCTTTTGGGAAAATCCCATAAAATCCCCAACAGAAATAGCTGGATGATTATCGTGCCGGGCTGATCCCTCGACGATGGCGCCACCCAGCCTAGCGCCAAACCCTCGCGGGCGCCTTCTCCTGTTTCGCAGCTCGCCCGTGGACCGCAAGTGGACCAAACTTGGGACCAAGTGGACGAGACGTGAATCATATGGTAATCTTTGATAAATAATATTAGGGGTAATGAATCATCAATGATTTACCATGATAATTACCATAATATCAATGGTAATATGAATCATCAATTAGGGATAATGAATCAATGGTGATAATGAATGATAAAAAGGGTTAATCATTGATAAATAATATTAGGGGGATAAAATAGAAACCATTGGAAACACTGATCCATAACCAAATATTAAACGGTAATTATGATTCATAAACATAACCATATGATTACCATTAGTGTAATTATGATTAATGATAATCCCATCCCCCTAATATTAAACACCCCGTTCGAAACCATGGTGGATTTTTTGGGAATTTCCACATCATTGGGACCATAGAAATGGGGTGTTTTTCATATTAGGGGGAAGGGATTAGTGATCACCAATGACAATCATACACTAATAACTACACTAATATTTATCTACTAATCTTAGTTTCACTTTGCAGCAAAGTGTCAAGTCCAAGCTGGAAACAAGGCCGTTTTCATTCCAAGTTTCAAAACGGAAAACCCTGCAGCCATGGAACAGACTTTACTCGTCGCACCGGAGACGCCGTGGCCTCCCAGGGGATCCAGCTGCGAGCTGGCGAACAATGCTAACAGTAGAAAGTACAGAAAGTACAGAAAGTACAGACTGCACCAGTCTGACAAAATTTGGGCCTACTGCCAAGGCATGCTTTGTGAAGCTCAGTTTTACTCGACGTCACTGGCCTTGTCGGCCTTTGGTGTGTCTTCCCCCGTTTTCCTGCAGCTGTTTTTGGCCGAAGGTCCAACGATGATTGCGTCCACCAGACTTTGCCACAGTGGGTGTGTCATTGCAGACACCACCTAGCCCTACCATAGCCTGTCTCCAGTTGAATTGCGGCGAAATCAAGCTATCAATGTTCCAAAGTCCCAACGTCTATGCAGACTGTGAATGCCTCAAGAATCATCAAGATATGCATTCAAGATATGTATGCAAATTTGTGTGTGTGTGTGCCCTGTGCGTGTCCACAAATATATAGATTATTTAAATGATGCGCAGGGTATGAGAACTCTGTACATACGCACACAGCCTGCTGCATGCCTACTTGCCTGTTTTGCAAAGGAGCCACATAGAGGGACCGAGCTTTCGTCCTGCAAAGGTGTTCCACATTTGTCTTCCAAGCAATGAACAGAAGCCAATTTCTGCGGACGAACATCAACATGTCTTCATGTCTTGCCAAAGGCGACCGTCTGGCCCTGCCTGCTGAGGGAGCAAGTCGCATCTGGGACACAACAACATCTGTTTGAAGACCAACATGTCTCATCAACTCATCAAGTGCCGAAATTATGTACCTATCACCTATAGGACCTACAGAAAATTACCCAAAAAAAAGACGCAGATTGCCATCTAAGCCCACAGCCAGATCGAGTGGAACAATGTCTGCTGAAAAAACAAGTTCCCCTTTTCGACATTGCGGTTTGAAAACAACGAATGCACACAATCCGCAGGCTCTGCCTGGTTCAGACGCCTCCCGACGGAAGCGCTCGCAGTTGAGGATAGGATGAAATTGGCGAGTTTTGACGAGCTTTGATACTTCTGTATTCGACAAATTACATGCAATTCAGTCATTTTTTCAGATTCTAGGTCTCTTTTGTCTATATCTACCAAATTCTACTAATATCTATAGAAGGATATAGATTTTCTATCTATATATGTATATCTCATCAAGCCTATGTTTCTGCTCCCCCCCAATCGGGACGACCTGGGGTGTTTTTTCCGGCGTTTCGCTGGGTGAAGCTGTGGCCGGCGTCTCGCTGGGCAGCGTTTCGGTTGGAAAAGAACTCTGCACCTCGCTGCCTGCGGTCCGGCAACGATCTCCCGTTGCGAGCGTGGCACCAACAAGGACGAAGTGCGAAAGTGAAAAAAAAAGATCAGCATAGATTAGCCAATTGATTAGCAGAGATTAAATCTGATTAGCCAATTGATGAAAAAAACATATTCAACATATTCAAACTGCTGTTGAAATATCGATGTTGAACATGTTGGATGCATATCCAGCCTGCGGTTGCTTCCTCCACCTGCCTGACCTCCCTTGCAGCATCTCCCGGCACCGTGGCAACCTCGAAAGGCCTGGCAAATCGGATCGAAACATGGACAGCAGAGACTAAGAAACTTGTGGCTCTGGGAAAATCTTCAACTTCATATGGTTTAACCATGTTTAACCATGTTTAACATGGGTTTTTATATGCTTCGACAGACATGCTTCGACTCAATCTCAATTCGAATCCGCCGAACTAAACAAGAACTCCTTCCGACTCTCGGAGAGTCGGTTAGCATGTCGGTTAGCATGCATCCCCTGAGGACTTTTCGGGCGACTTTTCGGGCTACGTCACTCTGCCTGCTACGGCACAAGGGCGAAAAACTCCAGCTCTCACCTCAAATTCAACATGCAAACATGAGTGGCTGCGATCTACCTCTGTTGGTTGACGATTGCTTCGGGGATGAGACAAAACCCAAAGTTAATATAAATTAATTGGGGATGGTGATCTAATCCAATAGGGAAATCCCTATTAACCAACCAGGATTCAATGGAATGACAGAGGGGGGTTGAACACTGCTCACATGCCTTTCGCCCTATTTTGAAGATCTTTGAAGCATGCAGGTAATCTTCCAATATGCCTTTAGAGACAAAAGTCATAGTCATAGCAAAATCCTGTCACAGCATATGCTGTGCCCCCAACTCGCTGGCAGTCGATCTGGCCTGACACAGCAAGAAAGACATAAAAAAAATTGGGCTTCAGCCACCGGGATTGCTTCCAAGGCTCTGGGGTTCCAGCTGGATTCTAGTCTAGTTTTGGGGGGATTGAATGCAGCTGAACATACTTACAAAACAAGGTTCTCTAAAGAATCAGAACCCTAAAAAAACTGTAGAGAACAAGGCTCAGTGAGAAACCATATTAGGCAGGCATGCAACAGCATTCTTTTGATCTCGCACAACATTCCTCACAGGGCACTCAACCCAGGACATCACGGAAAACCTGGCATGCTTCCTAATGAGCTCTGTGCCAACCTAACCTACCCACTCTCCACACTAAGTACACCATGCAAGTCTCTAAAGAATGATAAGGTGTTTAGACAACACGAGGTGTCTGATTATCTAGAAATTTCACAGTGAATGCCAAAGTATGCAAGAGTGTGGACAGGTTGCATGGATTTGAAGGTCAGAAAACATTCAAATTCAAACGGTACATATCAGATTTACCCTCTGGTAAACTAACATAGCTGTTAAAAATGGCCATTTATAGTGGATTTACCCATTAAAAATGGTGATTTTCAATAGCTATGTTAGTTTACCAGAGGATAAGCGGATACATCTGTGTATTTCAAATCATGCGGAGAAATACCTGCACAGGTGGAAATTCAGGTCCCGGGCAGCCAGAGATTCGGCATGCAATCAAGGCCCGGACCTGAAGCACTTTTGCGAAAAACTGTTTTTTTCAACGGGATTCCCCCATTAGATCACCATCCCCAATGAATTTTGGGAAAAAAACCTCTGGTAAAAACTAACATAGCGAACTGGAAAGATCCACCATGCTATTAATGGGTAAATCCCACTATTTCGATTGGGCCATGTTCAATAGCTTTTTGTATGTTTACCAGAGGGTAATCCCCGAACCAAAACATCAACCTACAGGGCTTTAGCAGCCACTCAGTTTTATTCAAAGTCGGCTCCGTACTCGCAGTGGACGGAGCACGTAAAAAACACCTAGGACCTAGCACTCGTAGTACAGTTCTTTCTTTAAATGGTTCATAATCAGACGACATCTTCACCATCCACGGTCATGCATTTCCGCGGAGCTCAAAAAAAGCCTTCGAACTGCCAGGTGCCCGGCTAGGCGCGAAAGAGAAAGGTGTTGAAGACTTGGTTCAGCTGGTGCGGTGCCAAGCTTCCCATAGATATTGCGTTTGGGTAACTAGCGAACACCTCATAACACCTCCGATAGTGAAAGCTTCTAGCCTTTCGGCTTCATGTGAACAGCTGGCTTGGCTGCAACCGCTGCAACCGCTGCTGGGAAACTCACAGCATCCAACCCGCCGCTCAAATCTGCCCGGTTTACCAAGGCCCGAGCCCTTCGCACCACATCTGGCCTTGGCAAACAGCTTTTTGTGGAAAAACAGCACGGAATTTTCCAAAGACATCAAGCAAACACAGCACGGATCTGGAGTCTGAGCTCAAGGCGAAGCGCTCGGTCCAGGCGGAAGTGCTGGCACGTGCAGATTGGGCACCACAGCACCAACATATTCCG